CCACCACCACCACCACCACCACCACCACCACCACCACCACCACCACCACCACCACCAGAAACAACAATAACGACAACAACAACAATCAAACCTTGGTGGTGTTCTATCTTAGCTGCTGTCCGCCTTAATATCAGTTCTACTCTAGTGGGACTCTCTACGATTCAACACTCCATGTCCCGGAACTTGGGTAGCCTTATTCTAAGAGTGAATGACGGTAGGTCCTCCTGACTATAGGATATACCACTTCAGCTGTTCGTCACACACATGGCAAAATTATCCGAGTCACTCGCTCCCAGTAACCTTCTATTGAATGGTCAGTTGTAACAGCTATTTCCGAATAGATGGATAGGGGGGGGGGCGTCAAATCCTGCCAGAGAAGATGACATGTGAAAAAGGGGTGGAAAATGATTGCATTCTAGCACTCAACCTCCTCTGTACACCGCTGTGACGGAAATTAACGTTTGTGATCAAAATTTTTAATTTTCTCAAATAAAACATTACCTTCTCGCGTATTTTATCATACCATGATTGATCACCGCATGCTGCACGGTACGTCGGTTCAACTTGCTTCAGGTAGCGCGCGTAAACAGATTTTTTCAAATTTCATCTATTTCTTTTTCTGCATTTTCACAATCTGCTTCTCGCGTGCGAAAAAGATATGCTGGAAACCTACATTCGCAGGCCAACATAGTCATTTCAAAAAGAAACATTCTCAGACAAATCAGATATCCTAACCGGTTAGCCGAAAGAAACTCTGGATGAAAGGCCAAAATATGAGCCCTGTTGGGAAGCTCCAAGAGAAAAGCTGGTTGCTATTAGGCTGCCATTCAAAGCGGTCGGCTTATCGGATCTCATTAGAAAACGTTTGATGTGGGCTGTTGGAAGAGCCTTTAATGTGGCCAGCTTATCATGTGTATGAGCACAGGCTCGCTAATGACGAGAACAACCAATAAAAACAGTTTATTTATTATGTGCTTACCTATTCCTTTGGTTCTGCTTTAAGTAACCCGCATCACTTGAACCGTCCCAGCTGATTAAAGAACACTTTCCTTACTACACCTTTTCCCATCAAGCTTCAGCCAAAACCCGCAATCCTTTAGCCTTAACCTACATTCCTTTAGCCAAAACCCGCAATGCTTTAGCCACGACCCGCAGTCCTTTAGCCTCGACGCACAACCTTTGGTCACACCGCTGTAGGCGAGTCAGAACAAAAACTATCGGTATATTCTGATGTCAACAAATGTTGAAAAAATTTATATTTTACAAATTTTCATATTGCAAAGCTTGACTAATAAATGAGAAGGTGTGACGATCGTATGCCGCGCAGTTGACTGTAGTAACGATATCAAATGCCGCACCACATAGTGATT